CAACCAAAACAGTAGCTGGTGGGCACAGCTCGAGCGCATGGCATAAGTACCTGCCACACGTTGGCAGGGCATCGACGGTGTGCGCATACATGGTCCATGCGTCACCGTGCAACCAGCTCTGTGGTGGGTGTGCAAGATGGCCAGTACAGCGGTGCACATGGGAGGCGTTCTCAGGACGTTCCCGTTTATTGACCTGGCGCCCATGGCTCTGCTGAAGGCGCGGCAGGGAGAACCAAGAGGGGGAGGGGGTAACAGGCCAAGAAGAAAGAAGGAGAAGGAGAGGGCGCCCAGGGGGCAAGCAACAGGCAGATACAACAGACGAGAAGAGTACGGCAGACGGGGAAGGAATAGGGAATGGGAGAAAAGGCAAAGAAGGAGGAGGAGCAGGAGAAGAAGGAGGTGGAGAAGAAGAAGGTGCTGGTGGAGCAGGAGGAGGAGGAGAAGGTGCTGGCGGAGCCGTGCCCCGGAGGAGCAAGGCCGGACCCCGCGCACCGACACGGGGCGAATGTGGATAAGCGGGAGGAAAAGAATAAGGCCACCAACAAGGAGAAGAACAACAGCAACGGGTCACGGGCGCCTACAAAAGGGTCGCGTTGAAATCCCTGCACGTGAATGTGGCGAGATCGCGCACGTTTGTGGTTGTGGTGGCGTTTTCGAGCACAATCGTGTCTGTTCTGGGCTGCCGTGCTTCGTACGTTCTGACTGAAGGCTACACACACACACACACACACACACACACACACACACACACACACACACACACACACACACACACACACACACACACAAATCACCACCTTCTTCGCTCGGCAAGCAAGAGTTGCTCCATCTTCTTTGGCGAGCGGTCCACGAAGACTGCATCTGGGCACCACCCGTCCTCGTCCATGGTCTCACAGTTGCGCAAAACGAGGACATGCACGGGCGGAAAGCTGGCCAGGTCCTTCAACTTGCATTCCTTCAGCGTGAGGTGCTGCACGTCCTGAAAGCACCCAAAGTCGTGGATGACGCACTCCTCGAGACGGCAGAGGGTCACATGGTGCACGCGCGTGATGACAAGCTTCGTCTCCGCAAGTGCCCTGTTGTCACTGTCGTCACTGCCATCGCCAGAATCGATGTTGTTGTCTCCGTCGCCGCTGCCATCCTCAGTAGTCACCACTGCGCCATTCAGGTCGAGGGACCCAATGGATGTCAAGCCCAGGCGCCCCCGGCACCCGCACAGACTCAGCTGCTCGCAAGACGCGAGCTCCCCTTCAAGCAAGACCTGCGTCAACTGCAGCACCTTGCGCCCAGAGAGCAAGTGCACGTCGTTGATGCGCGCGTGCCCGCATTTGTCTTTGAGACTCAGGCGCGGGACGTGGCTGACGAAGCTGCCTTGCAAAGCGCTGCCTTCCAGCGCTTCGAGCTCTTTGACGCACGGTGGGACCGGTCCGTCAATCTCGAAACAGTCCAGGCACACGTGCGCATGGTTGGGGATGCCACGCACGACGCTTGTGCTTGTATGCGGCGAGTCTGCATCATACGGAACGCGCAGCAACCGTCGAAGTACCAACTTGTCAACGCGGGTGCTGAGGTCAACAGCTGCTCGCTCGTCAGGTGCAGATGCGGCAGCGCAAGGCACACGACATGGGCGTGCTCAAAGTTTGGAATGCACCGCGGCGTGCTCGTGGCGTCACGGATCACCAGTCTGTTGATGCGTGACGCACATGTGAACTGCCGCACCTTGGACCCATACCCCAGGGCAATGTCGATGGCGTTGGGTAGATGCAGCAGCTCCGGCACAGCACTCATGTGGGAGAGTTTGACAACGGCCGCCGCCGGCAGCATGTCTGTCGGGGTGATGCTCGTGTGCGACAGCACGAGCGTTTCTGCTGTTTGACACACCGAGTGTCCCCGTACTGCTTCCGTGCCTTCGGTGGACAACCTCAGCTGCTTCACACCATGGAGTGACGCAAGGTCCACGCCGGTGTCATCGCTGGCAGTTGCAAGGCCAACGCTCGGGATTCCTGCAAATGCGCCCAGGTCTTCTGTGAGCGTGCTCTTGGTGCGCAGGTCAATATGCTGGACGTTGCTGAGGTGGCATGCGGTGCTGCGTTGTGTTGTTGCTGGCAGCCAGACGACGCGTGTCACGTCGCGGATCACCAAGTTGTCAATCACCGCCGAGCACGCGTTGATGTGAACGTTGTCTGCGTTGCTCACCGTCAGGGAGGCCAGGGGTGCCTGTGCCTGAATGAAGACGTGTTCTGCGCGCGCATTCGCAAACACGGTCGTGCGTAGGCCTTGGAAACGCTCAGCATCTGCTTGGCTGTTCAGGGATGCGTACAATGAGAAGACTGCCGGTGTGAGTGTGGGTGCGCGCGTGGGCGTGGACATACTGTGCGCAGTGCCGCGGTCTTTGTGTTGGTTCTCGTGGCTTGCTGTCTCTAGTTCATGTGTCTGCTGCTGCGCGCACGGTTCTTGAGTCTGCATCATGAGGGCGTCTCTCTTGTCCCCACTTTCTCTGTGAGCTCTGTGTGCTGTGCCAGGTTCCTCG